TTCCATACCTTTTTTTAAATATTTTTCTTTGTAGTGGACTTAATTTGTTTTTACAACTCATTTTAGATTTTAAATAACACTGCATATAGAACTGTCACTGAAACCGTCGAAAAGCGTTACCAAAGAAACCAACTATCAATAAGTCGCAATCTTGTCACGTTTAAATAATATTTTTTAAATCACGTTTTAGTTACAGTTTATGTTTGTTTATTAAGTTGGTAGCTTATGCCAGCTTGATTTAGTATTTTTAGAATTTCAAAAATGGTACTTCTGACCTTAATTAAATACTCTGATAAATTGACAGTAATATTCATTATTGATATAATAATAATAATAATATTTATTTGGTGCCAATGACCACAGCAGTCGACGCACCTTAATGAAAAAAAAAATAATATTTATTTATCCATAATGATCATATACATGATATAGGACAGGTCAAAATAGAGACAATACAAACTATTGTTTATTCCCTAACATCCAATAAAGAAAAAAACATCAAAGCATAGAAGATAATAATAAAATACATTATTCTAAATTTTCGAAATTAAAACATAAATATTCGTTTACTGTATAAAACGCATTTGCAAACAACAAAGATTTAACACAATTGGTAAATTTACTGCTGGATTGATTTTTTATATAGAGTGGCAATTTGTTATACAAGAGAACACCAGCATAATATGGATTTGATTTAAATAATTCGAGTCTATGATTGCTGTATTGAAAATCAGTTCCCTGTCTTGTGTTATAATGATGATGAGTATTTAGTCTATTAAATTGGTTCAAATTATTTTTCACAAATTTAAGAAGTTCAAAAATATAAATGCCACACAGTGTTAATATGTTATTGGTTTTAAATATTTCTCTACATGACTCACGAGGCTTTAGATCGCACATATGACGTAATGCCCATTTTTGCAAAACAAATACCCTTTCTGATTCAGTTGAGTTTCCCCAGCAGATTGTACCGTATTGATTCGAAATAATACTTTACTAATTTACTTGTTAATTATTATAATATAATATTATATTATAATATCGATATAAAAAGATAACTATGCTAAAAATAATATCAGATTCTAAAGTAATTACGATGAAGTTATGCCAAATGCCTCAATGGCAGAAAAAGTACATCGCCTTATGGACATTTTTGGAGTAAAAAAGTAACATTTTTGGTTTTACAAATATTAAATCACACATTATTTTCAGCTAGACAGATCAAAAATTTTTGAATTTTTAAAAAATAAGGGGAAAATAATGATTGGACAACATTCACGTGTGTTAACAAATTTTTAATTTCTATTATATTAATTCTAGAAATACTTGGTCTCTCCTGGGCCGTAGTTACCTATATTAAATTTAACTATTTTTTATATGATTTTACTGATCCACGCACCACCAAAGCCAAATTAATTGCATTTTTGACCACAAATTGTGACAACTCAACTTGACATTATAATTAAATGATTTTACTGATCCACGCACCACCAAAGCCAAATTAATTGCATTTTTGACCACAAATTGTGACAACTCAACTTGACATTATAATTAAATTTATAATTAGTTTGTTTTAATCAATGCAACCAATTTTGGTCCTGTATTTACCAACCAAAACTTTAAATTTGCAACGTTGCCGCAGTCCAGATAAAAAAATAAATTTTATAATATGGCTTTTTGTATTAAAATAAAAAATAATTATAAAATTTGCTATTTTTAAATCAAATGAAATAAAATGACAACATAAATTTTGTTTTTCAAGTTGGTATCTATCGCTTTTTATGCATCAAGTATAAAAGCAACTTCCCTTACGGGTCAATTATTACAACGAGCGAGGGGAAATCCTCTACATGCAAATGCACGGAAATTTTCTCCCCATTAATGTTATCCTCTTAAAAATAATCTCCATCAGATATTTCTCTATTATTTTTTGAACAGACCTCGTACGCGCCAGTGGAAAATTCGTTCGGAGAGTTCATTAAAAAGAAGCAGTAAAGGGTAATTCCCTTAACAAAAACGAACCCACTTAAGTTTAGGCCTGCCGTGGCAAAACCCAATATTCCAGCGTACGTATGTTATATGTTGTTGGCACAATAACTGGCTAACAGGTCCTTTGATTACAGCGTGCTCGCCCGTCCTTAACGTTTTAACAACCCACAGCATACTATAACGATCCCAATTTACGAGTTAAAATACCACGATGCCAGCCTCCATCACCATTTACTTAACGCAGCATGATTTAATACACTCTCTAACAGTGAATTAGTCAAAAATGACTAATTATCATAGCGAAAAAGCAGACACTAATTTCAATGTAAAATGGTCTCCTAAATCCGAAAATGAAAGTTATAAAAGTAGAACAGTTTCTAAGATATAGTTAATTTTCCATATTATATGGAATTAACTATATCTCAAAAACTGCTATACTTTCATAATTTTTGACGCCAATTTTATATAAAATTTGGATATTAATTGTTGATAAACCATGGTAAAAGCAGCCACTAATAACTGTAGTAACTAGTCATTTATGACTAATTCATTTTTAGAGAGCAAGGTCAAAGATAATACACCCCATAGATTGGAAACTGCACTAGCGCTAGCGGCAAGAGTCTAAAGTAAAGTAAAGGTGACGCCATCAGGTCTACAATACCTAAGCAATGCCAAAAATTGAAGTAGATTTCTGTAACATATATTGGCGCCATATTTAAATGTTAGTGCTTCGTGGGTTGCCTTTATATTTTGTATTTACTGCGGTATTTTAAATAAAACAAGTTTGAATATAAGATTTATTTATTGTAGTAATAATATAATAAAAAATTAAATACATACATCTATATGTACTATGCTCCACACCTCAAAGTCCCACCACGTGACCACGTACTGAACGCAGTCTTTTGAAAATTTGGCATTTAAGGCTTTTTAGGTTATGTATCTGTCAATGTATAGTCAACGAAAGAAATAATATTATGTTTAGGCGTTAAAAATGTATATATCTTTATAACATTAGAATAACAATGGATGGTTTAAGAATTTAAGAATATAAATACTGCATTTAATGAAATTCTAAAGTGTATGGTGCCAAATAAGAAATATTTTTGTGCATTTGATCCAAATATCTAGTGTTCTCCATAAAATAATTTTAACTAAACAGCATTTATTTTAAAAAAATCTAGCTTCTCTATTATGGAATAAGAATATCTGTATTAAAGGTAGTTTAATATATTATAACAAAAATATCAATTTTGTAATTTTAAGGTTAGAAAAATTTATTTTGACCAAAATAAATAAGTATTTTGGATTATTTAAAAGACTGTATAATATGGTATTTACAAATGTGGTAGTTTTTCTTATCCAGCTTAAAGTGTACCTACATAAAGTTTTGTCAATACAAATAGTTAAAAAGCTTCGACTGAATTTGATCTACATCAAAAAATCATTATACCTTTAAAATTTTTAATAAACCACATGTCATGGGAGTATTAAATATTTTCACATTGCAAGTTTCTCTAAAAATTGTTTGTTTTCTTATAATCTAACTTAAAGTAAGTATGCCGAGAGGTATGCACAAGTTTTGTCGTTAGAAGTATAAAAGCTTCAATTTAATTTGAACTATATTCAACAATTATTTAGTATACCTATATTTATTTATGACCATATGAACACACTCTTTCAAATAATCCACTGATTTATTTTGGTCAAAATAGATTTTTCTAAACTTAAAATACAAAATTAGATGATATTTTTTGTTCTTATACATTAACCTACCTTTGATACAGATATTCTTATTTTATAATAGAGAAGTTAGATTTTTTTAAATAAATTCTGTTTAGTTAAAACTATTTTATGGAGAAATGTATACCCAATGCACAAAAATATAACTTATATTGCACCTTACACTTTGGAATTTCATTAAATGCAGTATTTATATTCCTAAATTCTTAAACCAACCATTGTTATTGTGATACTATAAAGATTTATTAACTTTTAACGCTTAAACATAAGCGGTAACACTTTAAATATTATTTCTTTCATTGACTATACTTTGACAGATACATAACCTGAAAAGCCTTAAATGCCAAATTTTCAAAAGACTGCGTTCCGTACGTGGTCACGTGGTGGGACTTTGAGGTGTGGAGCATAGTACATATTACATACATAATCGGTATAAATTACAACAGTTATGGTAAGTCTGGGTCAGCTGCGCAGTCAATTCATGTTACCAAATGTAGGTAAATTAATATTATGATTATTAGTCTTACTAAGAGAATATTGCAAAATTTGGTAATTTAGTCCAGGCTACTTATACGATTTTTAACTTAACATATAGGAATTTGTACAAGGCTTTTAAGTGTGGACTTTTGGCAAGTTCTAACCAACCGCCAGCACTTGGTTTTGAAACAACCATAAGTAGCCTGGATTTGGCCTGGACTAAATTAACATTAAACAAGCAATCCTAAATAATTCATAATTAACAAGCAATATTTAAACGCTAGAGCGATACTGCCGTCTTAAGTCAAAAAGACGCATCTCAACATTTTTACTTAGTATTGCGCTTTATTGTTTTTTTTCTTAAATTACGTTCAATTTGATTAGCAATTTTTAAGACCTAAGACTCTTGTGAAATGTATTGTTGTTGGGTGCGGAAATGCACCCAACAACAATACATTTCAAAACCATTAACACGTTTAATCACTTTTAAGGCGCAAAAATGTATTTAATAATTCAATAATTATATTGACATCAATAGCGTTTGTACAGATGTCTGCAATTTACAAATAGATATTGTTTAGGTATTGTAGCTCTAGAGGGCAGTGGTGGGAGAGTTTCCAATCTATGGGGCTATTATCTTTGAGCAAGGTCGTCATAAACACCCATCACATACAAAAAAAGATTTGAAGGTGGATTTTGTCAACAACTTCCTGGGATTCCCGGGGGGTCTGTAGATCACACCTTTGAGGTGTTAAGGTGTGGTGTGAGAAAATATGTTTGCTTGCTTTCAGACCAAGACGGCGCGGAACCTTGCGGCAACTCCGTGGCGGTGCACAACCTGATCAGGTTGGCCGCCTACCTGGACAGGCAGGATCTGAGATCTAAAGCGGGCCGCACACTTACAGCCTACGGTGATCGTTTGAAGGCGATGCCGGTCGCCCTGCCGGAAATGACGTCAGCTCTGCTGTTCTACCACAAATCTCCCACGCAGGTAACGAATACATTCAGCGTGAAAAAATTATTTTTGTCGTAAGTTTGTGTAGTTAATATACAATGTGCTTTTTCTGCAACCCAGCGCGTGTCACAACGAAACTTGATGACACCGTTTTGTTGGGAACAAAGTAAGGGATCGGGGACGTTAAGCTCTGCAATTTATACTGTGGCGATTCTTATTTAGTAACACATCGAGCCACAAATCCGCAAGGATAATGTCCCATCTTTTATAGCGCGCGAACGCGTCCTGAATTTAAAACCGCTCTCAGTCGAAAGGGGGAATCCCCTTTAATTTATGGCCCGGTAAGCCGAATTCCGACACACGCATTTTTAACGCTAACTTTCTTACTATCAATTTTTCGAGAAAAATGCACTCCTCATAAAAGTATTTGCTTGTTTCAAAATGGCCAATTCAGTTTACACCTTTTCAAATATCCCGTCCGTTTAGAGATATATTAAAAAATATGAAAATATGGTAAAATCAATTCGCTTCCATTCTTTGATTTAGGATTGAATAAACAAATATTAGAAATATTCCCCAACTCCAAAACAAAACAAAGTGCTTAAAGTACTTTTCGCCAACGATGTTGGCATCTTCAAAAGCGAAGTGTAACTAAATCAACCATATTTATACTAATTATAAGCTAAGGTTGATTGAACAGTAAACAGACACAATTTACTACCCAAGCAACAATTTAAGTATTTGTTACGTATATGGGACTATTGAAGAAACTTTAAAGTGTTTTGCGACAGTCGCCGGTCTCTTTATATAACTCTTTCATTACTAAGTTACGACTAAAGTGGGGAACAATTATTGAGTTCCAAAAAGGTAACAAATATGTCACTAGCTACTATTTGGAACGTAGCTGCTACGTTACTAGAACGTTTCAATATTGCTGCTAGAGCGTTATAATTACTTTTATTTATTTGTTTTTACTTCCATATTAACTGTATTTGTCAAACTTATATTAGATTATACTATCCCTCCTTTTTTAAATGGAACCACTACGGACTTGGCTTTTCAATGTCGTCATTTATTAAATATGTACTGGTAGTTTATAACTTCCAGAATAACAATATAATGTTTAATTAGGCAGGTAAATTTATAAACCCTTTAAATTTTACTGTTGAACTTATGTATTTAGTTTTTGTAAAATAAATGCGCTTCATCAATATTTAAGTATAAACAAATTATTTATTTAATAATGTTTATAAATAAAAAAATCTTAATATTTATTATTAATTTTTTATTTAATTATTAATACCGTCTATTACCAACAAAATTACTATTTATTAAAAAGTAAACAACCATTTACAAACAATTAAAATAATTTAATATTTACATTACCACGTGGTACTGTACAGTAAAAAATGGCCGATAAGAAGCATTTTCCTTTGAAGTAGTTTTCGCTACTGTAAAGTTTTTTCCACCTAATTTACTTTACTGTAGTTTTGGTTAGTACCATAAACGTTCAAAGTTATTAACTCATGTTCCAGTTTCGAGATTTTAACTTGCAAAAGGACTACAAAGTAAGTAAAAATAATTATAATGTAATCTTTAGGTAGCAACCGAAAGTAACTGCTACAAATTAAATTTACTTGAAAGTTTTTTTTACTTATAACACATTTTTTAAAGTTGCAAAGTCTTCTTGGGGGCATCCAAGTTTTACTTAAATGTTTATTACTTTGTAGTAACCATTTAAGGAAAGAATGAAGTTTCTGTTACAAAATATTGCTATTTAAAAGTTAGAATTACTTTTAAGTAAGAATTAAAGTGGGTGTTTAGTATACTTAACTAATTTAAAGTTATCACCACTTTGGTTATGGTTTTTAGAACCAAAAATGCTGCTTGGGTAAACCGTGGACCGTAATCGCTTCAGTGAACACGTAAAGAGAAACCTTACTTGGATGGATCGTTTAGTCTGTCCAACATATTTCTTGTCACAATCTTGGCAGTTTATTTCGTAGATCTCCGACTTTTTAATTTTAGGAATCTTATCTTTGGGGTTGCCTAAAAGGGTCTGAAGCACAGACCACCAAAACAAATGGACGGATTTGTTTACGTTTAAAAAGCGAGTAAAGCATAGTTTCACATTCTAAACACCGTCGAAAGAAACACGGCTTTCAACGTTGTCAGAAGTATAGATTACACGCCTTTTTGGACGTTCATCATAACATAATGAACATTAATAATTACCAGTAATTCGTTTGAATAATAAAAAAATTGTAAAAAGGATTTGTTCATCATTTTCTTTAGATATATTTCTCTATTTAAAGAAAGTAAATCATTTAATAATTATTAAAATTAAATATTAACAACGTTGGTAAATTCGTCATATTTGACAGCATAGAAAAAGGTTATGTTCTGTGAGTTGACAGCTTGTTGTTTTGTGTTTTCGTTTGTGTATTTTTATCGTGTTTAAGTTAATTATGGAGTTTAAATTCATTATTTTTTACTAAAAATAACAATACATGGAAATATCGTTTGTAAGTACCTACCTACTTATTATTTTTTTAATCCCAATACGTCACTGGAAGAAAACATAAAATTCTATCGCCAATTTAACGCTTAGACTGTGACCGTTTGTTGACGTCACTGGAAGAAAACATAAAATTCTATCTCCAATTTGACGCTTAGACTGTGACCGTTTGTTGACCGCAAACAAAGCATTGTTATTGAATGGCAATGCGATGTCCATTTGTTTTGGTGGTCTGTGGTCTGAAGTGTGTTACTGCTTGAACTAAAAGCAATTTTGTCCAGTTTTCGAAATTTTTTTTCTAAAACTCTGGTGTACTGGGGTCATAAACTTGACTTTTGTGGGCAGAAGGGCGAAAGGTATTTAAAGCACTGTGTTTTGTTTTGGTGTTGGGGAATATTTCTAATATTTGTTTAACATATCATCAAGTAATAGGATTGAATAAACAAAATATCATCGGCCATCAGCGGAAAAAATAAAAAGGTTGTGTATTTTTTATTTTTCTGCAGGTCTTCATAGCCGGTGAGACGAAAGACAACGAGACTCAGGCTCTGTTGGACGTGGTGAGGTCCCGGTTTATTCCGGGCCGGATTCTGGCCGTGGCCGACGGGCCGACCGGCCGGGCCGGCCTGCTGTACAGCCGGCACGAGACGCTGAGCCGGTTGAAACCGGTTCGAGGCAAGGCGGCCGCCTACGTTTGCCGGAACTTTGCCTGCTCGTTGCCGGTAACCGAGCCGGGAGATCTGGCGCAATCTCTAGACGATGGGAATGGAAACGGAGAAGCGAAATGATGAAATTTTTGTTGGTATTGAAATTGCACGTAAGTACTAACACTAATGCTGTATTTTTGTCGACAACAACTTAATGGGCTGTGATGATTAATGGGATTACTTACGAAAAGAAATTGTTAGTTTTTAACTAAAATAATGTTATATTTATCATAGTTTTACACTTTTTGTAGTTGCTTCCGTGAAGTAAAATTTTATTTTAAACAATCTTGTTTAATTAATAATACAAAATAAAAAAGTTTTAATTGTTTGTTATAGGTACTTCTAATAATACCCCTGCATAGAATTTAATTTTATTGTAAATAGTGCTTATTTATTTTAAAACGCTGATTAATTAAATAAAACCACGGTAAATAATTTAAGATTAAGTTAAATAAACTCGATTAAAATGAATTGTTTGTTTTCATTTCAAACACAAAATTCCTTTGCTCAAACAAAGTAAGTATAAAATAAAATAAATAAAAAATTTAATTTTAATTTAAACATGTAATTTATATCAACATAGCGCTATTATCAATCTGTCATTCTCGTCTGGAAGATCCGGAAACAATGGATTTATTTGGTGAGTACCATAATTGCGATATTAAAATGCATAAAAACGATCAACTAACTAATTTAGGGTCTTTCCATCTCAAATCGACCAGGAAAAAAGGCGTTATTTTTTAACGAAATTTTTTTTACAGTTTCTCTTCCGAAATCGATGAGAGCCGAATTATTCTTTTTGCTTAAATTTGTTTTGTTTGCCCGTAGGAATTTTTTGAAAAATGGACAGAAACATGGATTTTTCTCTTTTTACGAGTAATATTTTTTCTTGAAAATACGATTACTAAATTTTTTAATTGTAATTTTTCTTTTCGGAATTATAATTTTTTAATGAAAATGCCATTTTCTAGTAAATTCGTAGTTCATCACAAAAATGTGGTATTTTATCTAGGATCATGCAACTGGGGCGACCTTTTTAGAGTGAAATTGTAAATGAAAAGATTTTAGAGTAAAATTCTTAATGTTTTTGCATGTGTTAAGTAAAGTACTTTTAAAAGATGTAAAAAGTATACCTAAGTTAATTTTGGTTAAAATAATAAAAAGTAAGTATTTTGTACATAAAATATATGAATAGAATGCACAGAAATGTAGAACACAAACAATTCCGAAAAATCTTTTTGACTGAGGCTCATCAGGAAGGGAAATAACAAATTTTGATTTGATTTTATATTTTGTTTTTTTATTTATTGCTTAAAAATTTTCTACAATGGCTACACTATAGGGCGGTTAGTTGTAACTTTTTATAATCGTTGATGATTTTATTTAGTTGTTTTAAAACCAAACAATTTTACTTACAACACTTTAATTCTAACCACCTCAATTATTGTTTTTATTTTATTTTTTAAAAAGTTTTAGCTTATGTTTTTACAGTAAAATAAAATGGTAATATTTACTTACCAGCAAAACAAACTAACGAACTGTCAAATCTGATACTTCTTTTAAACACAAAGGTTTCAAAGCCTGCTTAATTTTTTAACTTCTGCACACTTTAAAACCTAATAAACATTCAAATTTAATTAAGAGTTTAAAAGCGATATTATTAAAAAGGCATTAGTATTTGGTATCAAATTTAAAAAAGTGAATGGTTTTTCAATTTTTGAGAGCTCCTAGAAACCAGCAATGAAAAAAAAAGAATTAAATTAATACAATTTCCAGACTACTTGGCCCAACATGAAGCAGAATAGCCAATTCAAGGCACTCTAGATATAGAAATAAAATGTAACTTGGCATATGACATAATATTTACATATTATGTACACTGAAAAAAATAAGCTGTTGAAACAACAAAAAAAATATTAATTCAACTCTTTATGCACTTTAAATACAAGCAATGGTTTTTGCACGTTTACTTAACCATCTAAAAATGTCAAATTGTATTGTTTAATTGAACAACAAATAACAGTCAAATGAACAAAATTAGGATATTTGTTCCAATCTGCTAATTTTGTTAATTTAACATTCTTAGAGTGTTAAGGCAACTTTATGAATGCAAATTTAACATTTTAAATTTTAAAATAACATTTACAATTTGTTAAATGAACAAATTTAATGTTGTGGATTAAACAGCAACTAAACGTTAATCTAATAGTTTTTTTAGGTAATCCCAACAATTTTAGTATTTGATTTAACCAATTCCAGCTATTAAATCAAAATAGGATAAAAACTTTAATTCAAACAATTAGTTCATGTAAGATCAATATTTTAAATTGTCAAATGAACAAATAAACTTTGACAAACTCTGACTATTGCTTTGACACCAAAATATAGATTAATCCAATAGGTTTTTTGTTGAAACAACATTTTCAAAAATGACATTTAGGCAAATGTTAACTCAACGAATATATTTTTTTCGGTGTATGTATTCAGAATTTTATTTTAAATCGAAATAGTGTTTCATTAAAACATAAAAATTAAGACCATTTCCGGTGAAACCGGAAGTGAGGAAAATATGTTAAATATGTCAAAAAGTTCTAAATTACACTTTATAAAGGTCACTCCTGTTTTATGACCCTAGCTAGATAAAATACCAAAGTTTTGCGATGAACCGAGAATTTACTAGAGAATGGCATTTTCATTTAAAAAATAATAATTCCGGGACGGGACTTTTGGTGAAAGTTGTTTATATTATCAATTTCAATCGAAAAACATATGAAGTAAAAAAATGTGGCAATATCAAAATTTTGACTCAAATTTAAGCAAAAAGAAAAAATACTGGCCGAGAAACTGTAAAAACAATTTCGTTCAAAAATGCCTGGTCGATTTGAGATGGAAAGGCCCAGAACTAAAAATTAAACTGCAAAAATGATGCACAACTGCATTTTAATTAACTTTGTTCTACTCCAGAACGCCTTTATTGGGATAACAAATTAGTAAATCACAGCGTTCCTTACTCGCAATATTATGTAAGCAGTGAGCAGTGAGCTGTAGCGTCTTTTTGTTCGAGCATTCCTTTTCTAAATAAAACAATAGTTTGGCTGTGCGGGAGAAGGGAATCGGAAATGCTCTAAATAGCGCTCGCCGGCTAAAATTAATACATTTTCACGATTACTGCCTTTCCCACAGGATTCGCTTTGCCACGAATCTCTTCTATCCTCTATTCTTACCCCAAACCATCTGCTACCCACCACTTTACTAGTTCAAACAAAGAGAATTGAAGAATAGGAAAATAAATTTACAAAACTTACGTATCTATTCAGAAATTTTTTAACAATGTCTGAAATGACATCTCCCATCTCAATTCTCAACGTATTTCAATGGAATTCTTTCAATAAATTTGTAAGGCAGAAATTTGGATTAATGAAGCCAAAGTAATGTCATTCTTTACTTAACATTTTTATTTTACTACTGCAGCTGCATAGATATCCAGATAGTTGGCAAGAGTCGAGATTCTCAGTCTTAAGAATAGTATTTAAACTAAGAATCAATAATTTAAAAAGATGCAAGACAATCTTAAATACAACAGGCTGGTTTGCAAATTGCTGTTGATATAAGAAAGGACAATATCTTTGTTGTGATGTTTTTTATTGACTAATTTTCTTATTGATTGTTCAACATACTCTTCAGGGTCATTCCAGGACAAACGTCTTTTAAGTTAATTAGTCTTCAAAATCTGTACTCAAGTGAACTGGCTGAATGACCATTGTGCCTCTAACTATTGGAAATATGAAACAAAATAACTGTCATTCTTTCAACCGTTTTGTGATTAAAGGTTAATTATCGTGGTATTGGTGGATTGCGTCACATTCCCGAAAAAATTACATTAATTATTACGTTATAAGTGTGTTTTCTTGTTACTTAAACCGAAAACTTAATTTTCCACCCCCGAGCGAGGGAGGAAATTGCCTCTTTTCCCCCCCGGGAGGAAAACAAATTTTACATTAGCAAGAGTTTGTCTAGCCCTATTTGATTTTGTAGGAAAAAGATTTACTCCGCGCTTGTCCAACCATTCTTTTTACAAACTATTCATTTTTATATCCCTCTTTCGATTTTTAAGGAAGGAAATTAATTGCAAATATTCTTGTCTTTTTAGCAAGATCTTGCGACAGGTCTTCTTCGCTACAACTCATTTTCAAAACGTAGGAAGAATTTCAAATTTATGATAAATATTCTGACAGCTTATAAAAACCACAGATTATAAAAGTTATTAAAACTGTTATTTTTGTATTGCCTTAAATACGATAGCAACAAAGCGTTGTCAACATAACGTCGGCAACGCAACACCTACTTAATATTTTGTCATAATTATATAGCCCCCTACCGGGTTATTAAAAGGAACCAGAACGCTTAAAATGTCGTAAAACCGTTAAAATGTAATAGAAAAAACTATATACACACCTCATGAGGAAAATGCGTTTCCTCCCTTGAATATTTAATGCCCATCGCTTCGCGTCGGGCATCAAACTATTCGAGGGAGGAAAAGCACTATTTTACTCCCATGGTATGTAAATAGCTATTAGTACAAGTAAGGTTATGGTGCTATTTAAAATACTAACTTATATTTGACCATGACATTGACACTAACAAATTTACGATGAAAAGTATAGAACATACTAAATCAACCTAATACATATTTTATTCTAAAAAGTAGTTAACATATATCTAACGCCTATATCTAAATAGATGATCGTTTTCGTCATCATCTTGTTCTTCATCTTCATCTTCATCATCATATTCAGGCTTCTCATTTGTTTCTTCTTCGTTTTCTTCATCATCTAGTTCTTCATATTCAGGGTCTTCATTTGTTTCCTCTTCGTTGGTAAGCTTGACGTTTGATTCATTTACATAATCTAAGGGTGCAATATCCAGATTTTCATTGAATATTTTGTTGTATGGATTCGATATATTTGTTCTATCTATGCCTGTTAGTTTCTTAATTGATAATGGTACTTTTGGGATTAGGATTTGGATAAGGACGTAAAAAAACAAAATAATTAATTCTAGTACAATTACATTAAACGACTTATAGTAATTAATATAATAATAATTTTCCGTTTTCTGGTATTCCAGTTCATGACCTGGAGGATAGTTTTCGCCTATATACCAACAAGCGTCAACTTTTCTCTTGGAATTTTTAAATACAGATTCTGGTTTAAACTCTGCAATAAAATGAATATAAAAACAGTAATAGTATTATTCTTGATTGAAACTTGCCTGAAAAGCCACCCAAATGAATATAATCATAGTTTGTAGAGACGTATCGACGATATTTTTTATTTACAATATTCCCTGTCCAGTTTATAACGAATATCTTAAAAAAATATTTTTGTTACTGATAACAACTAAATCAACATACATTGCACAAAGCCCCCAGAATAGTTATATAGAAGGTAAAAGAATTCCAAATTCCAATTCCGTTTGCGCGTTTTACAGCTTCTGGTCTTCTAGTATCAAAAATCATTTGCGATGCTTCCATTCTTAAAGACAAAAAGTTATGCACTGCGGCAAAAAAATGAACAGGTGGAAGACAGTAGACAAAACTGCTTGCCAAACCGTACTGAATGCCTAAAAGATGAGTAGGAATTGGGTTTGTGCCTGCATATCATCTGGACTTCCAAAATGACATTCACTAAGCAACAGCAGCCAACCCGACGCAATTTTTTTAAATGGCAACACCCACCCCTGGCGAAAATAAAGCGTGCATGAAAAGTGTGCAATAAGTATGTATTTGGAGTGCAAGTCTTTATAACAATGTGCATACACGCTACTTTGTGGTAATTTCACACTTTTTGAAATAATTAAGTTTTTTTCACTCTATATGTACAATTGGCGTCCCCGAAATGTGAACGGCAAAATTTAATTGTGTAATATGGGCTTTGCATCAGTGTCGTCGGTCGTTGTCAAATTTAATAATAGTTGTCAATTGCAATATTAAAAATGCCACCCCACTTAACCGAGGCTCAGAGGTTCAGGGCAATAGCCAAATTAGAAGAAAATTGGTCTTTAAGTAAAGTAGCTGCAGATTTAAATGTCAGTAAAAGCTGCATATTTTATATCAAAAAACGTTGGCAAGAACAACAAAGATTAAGAAGACCTATCAGGCAAGGTGTAGGAAAAATCTCCAGCGAAAATGAAGACAATGCTCTTGTCGCACATATTACGCAAAATCCTTTCAATAGCGCAGTTAAGGCCCGAGAAGATGCACAATTTCCAGGATCTCTTCGAACAGCTCAAAAAAGATTGAAACCAGCTGGTTTAAAAAACTGCGCTGCTGCTCATAAGGTTTTTTTAACTGACGAAAATAAGCTCAGGAGAGTCCAGTTCGCCAATGACTATTTAAATTATGCAGATGATTTTTGGAATAATGTTAAATTTTCGGATGAAAAAACGTTCCAATCTTGCAATAATGGAAGGCTGCGTGTATATCGTCCAAGAAACGCAAGATTTGAGGAGAACTATACATTAAGAACCTCAAATAGTGGACGCTTTTCCATAAATGTTTGGGCGTGGATAAGCATCCATGGTCCGGGAGTATGTTGGAAAATTGATGGTAGATTAACGGCTGAGCAATATACGAGGATTTTGGACAACGTTATGCTACCTTCAGTTGGACATGTGTTTCCAGAAAACTTTATATTCCAACATGTAAAAGTGTATAGTATTCAAAAACGATTCTAATAAATATTATATTACAGGACAATGCACCACTTCACACAGCTCGCGTGGTTACAGAGTGGGTAAACAACAACCACATAACTATTTTGCCATGGCCAGCTAGAAGCCCTGACTTAAACCCCATTGAAAACGTGTGGGGTTTTATAGTTAAAAATATATATCAACGGGACTTTAGGCCAGCAAACCGAGATGAACTATGAAGTGCTGTTGAAAATTCTTGGGATGAGCTTGCTGAGTCATACGACATGCGTGAGCTAATAATGTCCATGCCAAGAAAGTTGCAAAGGGTTGTGGCAGCTAATGGCTCTGCAATGAAGTATTAAAATAGCTTAGCACCACAGTTTTTTAAGCAAGCTTGTTTCAATCTTTTTTAAGCTGTTCGAAGAGATCCTGGAAATTGTGTATCTTCTCGGGCCTTAAATGCGCTATTAAAAGGATTTTGCCTAATAAGTGCGACAAGAGCATTGTCTTCATTTTCGTTGTAGATTTTACCTACACCTTGCCTGATAGGTCTTCTCAATCTTTGTTGTTCTTGCCAACGTTTTTTGATATAAAATATGCAGCTTTTACTGACATTTAAATCTGCAGCTATTTCACTTAAAAACGAATTTTCTTGATCAATATGTTAATTTAGTTATGTTATTTTTATTGTGTATTTACCTACTTGTTAATTTATATTGTTGTATAAAACCAAATTAAAGTTAATTTATTTGTTATATTGTTTATATTGTTTGTTAAAATATTATTAAAAAAATAGAACGATTTAGGATATTGCTCTTATTCTTAGTATTGTCCCTTCTATATGTAACACCACTGGCCGAAGCCAGGAATGAACGAATAAATTTTATGAAAAAAATCCATGACAACAAAAAATCGTTCACATTTCGGAGACGCCAATTGTACATTGACATCACGCTTTTTATTTGTCATATGTCACGCTTATATTACATTATATTTTAGCACATTGTTTGCAGTGTTAGTACATTGTTTAAAGACATTTTGCAGTTTCAGTCTATGCTTTAATATTTCTCATTTATGACGCTTATATTACACCTTTTTATAGCACATTGTTTGTACAGTTTTAGCGATCACTCAACAGTTTTAGATATATCTCGCTTAAGTTGGGGTACAACATTTATTTAAAAGGTGAGGTACACGGAGAGAAAAATTTTGCCAAAATAAATGACGTATAGTGAATTTAGTCAACTGTTTTATTAAACTGAGGATCTGTATAGCCAATTTAGCCATACAAATCCTCAATTTAATAAAACAGTTGACTAAATTCACGATACGTCATTTAACAATACTTTGGATAGTTATTTTAGCAAAATATTTCTCTCCGTGTAGATTCCATCTTATGTATCGCTTCTCGGCCTATTGCTAAGATCAAAGCAATCCCCGTCGTGGAGTTGACAGTGCAGGTATTTTTCTTAATAAAATATAGTATGTAGGACCTACATTGCGGGTATTTTTTTTTTTAATTTTTTTGAAAAAAATATTTATTTGATTATTATGAGGATATTTATATTTCAATTATGTGTAAATTTAAAAGACTTTATAGGTCACCAAAAAGAATCTGTTTTTGTAATAGGCACACAGGTGGCAAGAAACAGTGTGGAAACAATGTGAAAAATCAAAAGGAGCTCCCTTTAGAACATTGACCAGTGATTATTCACACTTTTAAATTTTTGGTTTTGCACATTGTTTCATGTTCCATTTCCCACCCTCCGCACATAATTTTTTTAAAAGATTGCACATTGTTGGCACTTTGTTCTCAAATATTTTTGCACATTTCATTTTCGCCAGGGACATGTGGTCTAAAAAACTCATTATATTTAAGAGATCAAAGAGATTTTCAAGAGCTTTCCAATGAGGTATCATAAAGAGGGTGTTGCCATTTAAAAAACTTGAGTTGGTTTTGAAAAATTTTTGATATATTTTTTAGACACCCTGTATTTACATCTTCGTGAAAATTGAAGATTGGTCATATTTCCCGAGGTTGATTTCAAACTGTATTCTTCTTCATATTGCGGCAAAGAGCTTTGTTTTAATCGCTCTGAGAAGTAGTATTTGTATATTTTTTTAATTCTCCTGAAAAAATTTAATGAATTTGGTATTTTTTTAATAAATCAAAAAAATTACGGACGAATCAACACACATATTTTCTCAATTAACGTTTTTAAAGTGAAGTAAATTAGGACTTGAAGATGAAGATGGTAAATGCAAGGGAATGGATCACAACTATTGTAGCCAAAAAACGATATTCCAGATCTCACAGGAATGTTGCTGTTAAAATTCTAAAAAAAATAGGTTAAAAATAATCGTAACAATAAGTTTTTGACACCTTTAAAAAAGCAGTATGGACCATGGGAGCAAACTTATTAATCATATCCAAAGTAAAAGTTATGAAAATTAGGATTGTATTGTAGGAAGACTGGGTTTTTGGCAGGAATAATGTTGTCATTTTAACTCCAATTTTACTCAAACATTGGGTGTAATATATTGTAAACAATGCCGTCAAAGTGGAGTTCAGAAAAATCAATATAGTTTTAATATCAAAGTTTTTGTAAGTTTCACCAACGAAATATATTTTTAATGCAATGATTACCGCCTCCTTTAAATAACTATATGCAAAAATTATACCAATCTAAAAAGACAAGTTAAAAATAATGTTTTAATGTTATAATTTCACCTCACCATAGCAACATACCAAGTGCATGCCAGAAACACTTTTGGAAATTTCACTTTTCTTTCTATCTTGTAGGTCATTTTTCCATCCACAAGTTTTCGTTTGGCCAAGTCTTTGTATTCCAACCTAACTTCCACTTCTTCTTTTCGTGATTCCTCATACAAATTCCAACGATATTTCAGCTGGGCTTCGCGCCTCTTCCAAAGTGTAATGCAAAGAAAACCTTAACAAAGACTTTATGACTTTACAGAGGTTTACAAATCCATTTGATAAACATCGAATGCTTTTGGCCAGCGTTAGTTTCGTCCACCGCCCAAGTAGCAAAGGGTTGCCACCGATAATGCTATACTGTTTTATGCAAGCTTTATAAATGCATGAAAACATGCTTTTTATTTTATTGCAGTTCTAATTTGTGCTAGTTGGTCTTGAGATAATGAAGCTTTATGATAAGGCTTTTTGCCTTTTAAACCATTTGATCTTAACATTGATTTATTACTGTTAATCAACAATGCTTTTTTTAGGGCAACTTGCCCCTAAGAAACGCCCAAAGTCCAATAAGCTTTATAAAGGTTTATCAGATGCCTATTGGTTTTAATGGTGCTCGGAAAGTTGGCTTTAATGCATCTGTCCGACTCATAGGAGCATTTGGTCTTAGGACTACTTTTTCTATATGTAAGAATGTTACAGAACCAAACAGTAAAAAGGTTTTATGATTGTTCCTAGTAGAGCAGCAATACGTCTTTAATAACCAATTTGCTTTCCAATTTTGTTGCAATTATTTCTTTCTTAAAACGTTTTTGTATTGATAATCGCGAAGAAAACAACTCTTGTCAACATGTCGCCAGTTTTTTAGAGCAGTGGTTAAAAGTTAAAAATGAGATTTTATGCCCAACTTACCAGATTGTTGTTTTCAGTAAACATCTGTTCTGTGGTAAACATCATAGATAAAAGAAAAAACATTTGACAATTTTTTTTTAGGTGTTATCATCTAACAAAGCATTATAGCCCTGATGGCGATACTTGTGATGAAAATACTGCGAAGTAGTTTTAAAATGCTCGCACAAAATTCCAATTGATTTTATGATTGCCTTAAAAAATGCAGTCATAGGGCTTATTAGTTTTAACAAATACCCAGTTGTAAACACTTTTTAAAGCAATTAAACTTTTTTGAAGTTGTTTGCAAGAGTACATTGTTTTATAACTGAGGAGTGATTTTTCAAAAGACCGTATTTCCATTTTTACTTGAATGTCATTTTTCGACAAATCACAAAGGTATGGTTAAAAGGCATATATTAAATGGTGAATATGTTGCACAAGATGTTGAATGTCCAGAATATGATGAAGAAGTGATGTGTTAATGTAATGAGCCAGAGAAGGATATCTTTAAAATATAAGCCTTACATATTTTTCAATAGGTATTGTTAGCACAATAAAGATATTTTTCCATATATTTTTTTTTAAAACGGTATTCAATAAAAAAGTTATATTTCCAAGTTTGTACACAGCAAAAAGGCACATTTCCAAAATGATTTCATACAAAAGGTCTTATTTTCAAATAATTTTTAAAAATACCATTGCTATAAATATTGGAATTTAAACCACCAATTCGACAGCAGGTCTGAAGTAGTATTATATATTCATCAGATTTTTTTTTTAAATAATTTATATCGCCTAACCTATACAAGTTATATTCTTTTTTTGAAAATTTGTTGCAAATAGAAATACGACCTTTTGAAAAATCACTCCTCAATGAAACCGACATTTAAATTAGAAAATATTGCTCCGCCATGATGAAATAATTTTAATCTAAAATACGAATAGATTTGGTTTTTACGAGCATGTTAATGCTAGAGAATATTTTTTCGATGGCTTGAAAACGGAATGTAGATCGGATAGGTAATTTAGACAAAGCCTTTAAAGTTGTGAAACAGCTTGGTGTTCCATAAGGCAACAATATACCTAACAAGTATTTGATTAAAGCAATATGGAATTTACAAAGTTAACAATAAAGTAAAAAGGTATATCAATAAGTACAAATTGTCATCTTAAATGTGTTTATGACAAAAGCACACTACCTTCTTAAAACCTATTGCACAGCAGGTTTTATGACAGCTGTAAGGTAGGTTTTATGGCTGCTGTAAGAAGTGCCTTAGGAGTAATACAATAAAGCAAAGTTGCTTTGTAGCTGACACACAAATTTCTCCTAAGGACAGCGATAGGATCTCCTTTTTAGTCCTATGATGGTTTTATCGAAGTTGTATAGCTGAGCACTGTAAAAGCAAATAGGTTTAATAAAGCAATGCAAATTAACCTTGAGAGTAGTTTTATGGAGCCCTTGTAGACCTATTTAAAAACCCTTGTAGACCTATTTAAAAACCCTTGTAGACCTATTTAAAAACCCTTGTAGACCTATTTAAAAACCCTTGTAGACCTATTTAAAAACCCTTGTAGACCTATTTAAAAACCCTTGTAGACCTATTTAAAAACCTATTTTGCTACTTGGGCGTGTTTCGAGTGCGCTTCACCGCATGGCTACCCGGCACCGACGAGGTCCAAAGGCACACTTGAAACACATGGTGACGAGGTATAGGCTCACCCCAAACTGATACGAACAAAGAGTAGACAAAGGTATAGTAGGTCTCCGTTCGAAGGACCTTAACATAACCGTCACAATATGTGTGAAGAGGCTTTGTGTAGCAACCATCACCAAAAATACACGTACTACACATTATTTTGGTGGAATTACAAAATTCACGTCTAAAAATTAAATGTTATATAGTCAATGTATTATTTTTCTACAGCTTCACAACTCCGTTTCATTATTTAAAGCCCCATTGATTTGGTTAAGTATATAAAGCAAAACTCCCATAATGGCTAGCGGAGCCATGTAAAATTTATCTTGAAAATCTGACCAAGCGTAATAAAACGCTATCTCGGAGCCATAATATTTGTGGATCAGATCCAGTGGCTGCTGCTTGAACCATTTGGTCATGCCGCTCCAATATTTGGCCAATATCTAAAAATAATCATAACAAAGTATGGAACAAATTCGTTAAAGAATTCGGCTTTTTTTCTTCTTAAAAAAATCCTTCAACAGGTTGGTGTACAATTTTCATATTTTCCCCATTTTTGTAGGATAGATTATGAAATTGTGATTTCAGAAATATGCACATTTATACCTTTTAGGCTGATAGTTTCGGAGATTTTCATTATTAAAAGTGGAAAATTTATAGATTTTAATAATGTTTTCATTAAGACCTTTTGATAAAATTAAAAAGTGTTCATAGAACAAATTTTCACAAATATTTCATTTCAATGTCAAACTTTTTCCGTTTATTATTGTTTTTTGTTATTCTACAAATAGCAAGTGTCGATATACGGAAGTTTTTTATTTTATATTTCTTTGTTAGCATATATTTTAAAACAAATATTCACTACTAGATGTTGAGCGTTCAGTGAAGTATCTGTTGAGCGTTCTTCAAATATTTCGAAGTATTTAAATATGGGCCATTTAACAGAAACACAAAATTGTTTTATTTCTCAAAGGATGTAGCAATAAAACTAGAACACTACAAGAAGTTTGCAATTTATTTAATGCAAAGTATCCAGCTCGACCTATTACTCGTGCTACGTAGTAAAATTAAACGGAAATTCAGAGAGACTGAACATGTCAAAGATATTCCAAAAACCTATCCATACGAGTATTAGTAAAGAAATTAAAACTGACATTTTGTTAGGTGTGGAAGAATATCCTCACAGTGCTTTTAGCCTAGTCGCAGCTGAAAGTCAATTCAGCCAACGCTCAGTTTTACGTCTTATGAAGAAAGAAAAGTACCATCCAAATTAGACTAGTGCAGGAACTTAACGAAGATGATCCGGACCGTAGATACAATTTTGTGAAACTATGATGAATTTATAAAGGGTTTTTCAATAAGAGTGATATGTTTTATTTCTTAAATAAACAAAATAGAGATGAGTTAGAGCAATATTTTTTAATTTTAAAGTATAATCTATGCAATTATGTTATAAAAAGGACGTCATTCAAATAGCTGCCTCTGCTTCTCCTACAAAGCTGAATACGGTGATTTCGATCACTTTATTTAATAAATTAGGACCTGTTTGTTGAATTTAGTGTTTAATATTTAATTTTAATGTCTCAATTCTTGCTGGTCTATTAGCATAGACCATTCTTGCATCATAACAATTTTGTAAGGATGCAAGCCCAAATTGAACCGTAAAATACGCCATGTTGTTGTGGCAGACAGTCCAAACTGTTGAGAACGTCTTGGAATTGATAAATTAGGGTCTTTATCAACACTTGCCCGAACGGCAGCAACATTCTCTTCACTTCGACCGGAACTTTGTCTCACTGGCATGCGAATATTTTGTAATGAAAGATTGCTTTCAAAATTTTCCACTTTTCGACGAATAGCGAGCACACTAAGTCGATTATGACGACCATAATTTGGAAGTGCACGATAAGTCTTCTTTTCATGATTAAATTGCACACCTTACTTAATATAACTGACAGTGACAGAAGATTTTGACAATTTAAATACAGCCACACTCTCGATTTAAAAACATATCACCTCTATTGAAAAACCTTTTATAAGAATAATCCACACTTTCCTCGTAATATATTTTTTTCAGACAAAGCTACCTTCTGTTTAAATGGTACAGTCAACCATCAAAATTGTAGGTACTGGAGCAGAGAAAATCCTCATTGGGTAGTAGAGGCAAATTCCCAATACCGGCAAAAAGTCTTAGCAAGAATGGTGGAAAATCGGATTCTTCTTTGACGAGAATACGACAGGACAATCGTATTTGGAATGTTTGCAAAACTTTCTTTTTCCCAAATTAGCAGAAATGTTTCCCAATGAGAATGGAGGTCCCGATCTATCAAGTGATACCATTTGGTTTCAACTTTCGTACTTTTTTGGATCCTTATTTTCCTGAGAGGTGGATTGGCAGACGAGGACCGATAGACTGGCCAGCGAGATCTCCCGATCTCACCCCTCTCTATTATTTCTTATCAACAGAATTTAGAAGACTTGAAACCTCAAGTTCGTGAAGAATGTCGCTTTATTAGTGCGGAAGTCATCCAAAACGTTCTCAGAGAATTTTAGGATAGGATGCTTTCTGTCAAGAAACCAACGGGAAGCAATTCTATATAAAAATTTAAATCACGAACTTTAAAATTTAATAATACCCAAAACTATCATCCTTACAAAAATGGTGGCAAATATAAAAATTTTACATCAAAATATGCGGAATTAAAAAACAAAATCGACATGTTCAATGAGTTCCATACTTTTGCCGGTCACTGTATAAGTTGATTAAAGAAACGAACCGTTCTTTCATTTATTATATCATCATTATACCAATACTCTATTTGAATTTTTCCATCATGCAGAGGATAAGCGTCTTTTAATATGCCTTTTTTTTTCATTTTTTCTATACCTTTCATATCTTCATCTGATCCGAAGGAAACGTGTTTCAGCATAGTGTTAATTATTCTTATTTTGTTTATCGTCAGTGACTCCATGCTAAATTATGTCAATTTTTATAAAATAATAAGTAACACAAATTTAATTTTAAATAATGATTGGCGATACAATCATTGGCGATAGAGATGAATGGTTTGGGGCTCATTAAATGCTTAACTTTGTCGAAAAGTGCAGATATTTTTTTTAATACAGCACTGTAATTAAATAAGTTGTGCCAATGTCAAGAAGGTTGTAAAGAAATAGGTATTCAACCATTTTGGGGCGGGCGCCATATTGAATTTAGTATGACGCGACTCTCCTTATCGTTTTCTACTCGACAAATTAAAGCATTTGATATCCACAACAAGGGTTTGTAAATAAAAAAGGAATCCGCCATCTTGAACACATTACAATATTAAGTATAGGGTCATTCCTGACTCAGGAATCCTGAGAATGAAAAAATAAATATGTTCCTCTTTTAAAGAGGTGTGATTGCTTTTCCGATGATGTTGTCGAGCCTACCGAAATTTCGGCATTTCTACCGAAATGGCAACGGACCTACCAAAATACTGAATACGACGATTTTCGTCAATAATAACGATTTTACCCTTTTTGCCGATTAATCAATTTTTTTTAAATACTTTCGTACCTTTTTTAACTGCCTCAACATGTATTTATATGTATGATGCTAATAAACTATTTATGTTTATTTGTTACTTACTTATTGTGTAGTACTTAGTAAAACACCGATTTTGTTCATATAAAGTGTACTTGTAATCCCGAAACAGAACCATGGTAACACCCGAGAAAAAGTAAAATTTTATTAAAAAAATAGTAAAACGTTATTTGTGACAGTGACTATGTTGTATAGGTATTATACTTTTGAAGGCCTGTAATTTTTAAGAATGTTTCTCTCCAAGTGTGTGCAAAATTTCAGCTAAATCGGTTTGGTGGAAGTGGGTTAAAATCGACTTCCAACATTTTTGAGCCCCAGAAGATTCATACAAAAAATGTCTATGGTCGATTTTTTTAGAAAACGTCTTTTTTTACCTCTATGTGTAACATAAGTAGGCACTTTGCCAAAAAATAATTACCTTAAACCACTAAAAGGATCTTTTTTTAGAGGAGGTATTTTAAAAAAAGAACAATGATCTGGTTTCACATCTGTGTAATTAAAATTGTCCAAGTATTCTTTTTGGATATCGTAGGTATATATGTAATGCTTGGCTAAGTAGTCGCTTATGTGAATTTTAATAAATTTAACCGGGATTCCCTAAAATAATTCATAAATGTATAAAAAAGTAGGTACAAGTTGTTATAAAAAATTACAATTCCAAGGTCTTGCTCGAACTCCAAGCCCATATCTTCTAATTTCCTGATTGCTTCCTGCATGATTTCAACATTTTTGGATGTCGAAGATAAAGAAATCACCAGAATGTAGTACACTTTTCGTCGGCCATCTTCAAAAAATGTTGCACCTCCAGTACGACCTTTAGCAACATAATCGAGTATGTTATCGGTTAAACCGGCGGAGGATTTTACTTTTGCTGGTAAATTTTGCTGCATTTTTGACAACTTTATATTTTTGTCAAATTTATTTGTTTCTATGACAACACTAATAAGGTTAGTACAGAATGACTTACTTAAGAGGGTTCGGGCAAGATATTAATCGCTATGAGAAAATCTTTGGTTGTAGAAGAGTCTAATTAAAAGACATTTACAAAGTTTTAGAAAGATTAAACGTCTGGTTTCCAAGTAGTTGCAAAGTACAGGTAAAGTAAAGTGAAGTGAAGTGAAGTGAAGTGAAGTGAAGTGAAGTGAAGTGAAGTGAAGTGAAGTAACGGTTGTCATAAAATTGTCTTTATTATGTTGGAAGAAATGGTTATGAACGATCACCGAATCACAATCAGAGAAGTCGCTGATGATGTTGGCATATCGATGAAATTTTTTCGAATGTTTTGGGTATGAAACGCGTGGCAGAAAAATTTGTTCCAAAATTGTTGAATTTTAAACACAATTTTTTGCCAAAAACAATACTGTAATGATGCCCCAGCCTACATATTCGCCAGACATGGCTCCGTCTGACTTTTTCCTATTCCGCAAAATAAAGAGAACCTTAAAGGGCCGTCGTTTTGCAAGCATAAATGACATTAAAAGCGCATCGCTGAAAGAACTAAAGACTATCCCAAAGATCGTGTTTGAGAAGAGTTTAGAGGATTAGAAGAAGCGCCGGCACAAGTGCATAATATCTAATGGGGACTATTTTGAAGGCGACAACTTTAATTTAGACGAATAAATAAATAAAAAAAAAAACGAAAATTCCCGTTATTTTCTGAACACACCTCGTAAAAGGGTAAAATATATAGAAAATATATACAGGGAACTTTATGGGGAACGGAAAAAGATAACGATTTGAAATTTGTATAGCAATTATAAGGCAATGTAAACTATTTTTTTAAATTATTTTCCATGCTTTATCACTTCCGATTAATAATAATAATAATATTTATTCGTGTACCAAATTACAAAATTTTTACACACGTCAGGTACATAGTAAGAAGAAAAATAGTAATAATAAAAATCTAAAATACGAGATATAATCATAAATTAAAAATTTAAATTTAAATTACAATTATTATTATAGACTACAAGTATTATACATTGACTTTATATAATATAATATACTAATAATAGTATTATAATATTATTGACTAATTGGCACTGTAATATCACATAGGTTCAGAGCAATGAAGATATTCATCATAATTATAAAAGGCTTTTCCTAAAAATTTGTTTTCTGCTCTTTCTTTAGATTTTCGCTGCATCCAACATACTACATGTTTTCTGTTGCTTTATTATTTGTTCCCATTCGAATAATTTTTTATAGTCGTTTTCACAACTTATTTTTAGATTTTAAATAACACTGCATATAGAAATGTCACGGCAACTGTCAAAAGCGAAAAGGGTTACCATAGAAACCAACTATAAACAACCAGTAATGTTGTCGCGTTTAAATCCTATTTTTTACGTTCACGTTTTTGTATTAAAATAAAAAATAATCCTAGAACCGGCCATTTAAAAGTTTAAATAGGAAATAAATTATAATCATCTTTATTTCAGCAAAGGTAAGTAATAATACAAATATAAAAGTTATATTTAATTTAATTTAAATATTTAATATTTAAATTTAAGAAATATGCATCATAAAGGAAATAAATTTAAACAACTAACAAATATTCATTTAAAAAATATTGTCCAGACTCCACTAACTGTAAGTATTTTTAGTTGTCTAAATTTACCTCTACATGAGGTTCTTAAAGATAAGCCCAGCATTCTTCCAACTTTTCTTTTTTGAATGATGAACACATTTTTAAAATAATTTAGTAATTATTACTACTACTAGAGTGTCGAGGTTAACATATTGATATAAAACTCTATAACTATATAAGACTTTGTTTAGTTTATTACATATCTGTTGAACATGTTTATGCCAACTTAAATTTTCATTTATATAGACACCCAGAAACTTTGTGTCTTTTACAAAGGACAAAAGTTCATTGTTTATCACAGATTGCTCAGGTGGCTTTAGGTAACTATTGTTTCTTCAAAAAATAACAAATTTATACTTGTCTATATTCAAGACTAATTTATTTTTGTTAAACCACTATACAAGACTGTGCAACACTTCATCTGCGTTTTTCATATAACTTTCAAAAGTTTTACTTTCTGTACTGATATTGCTGTCATTAGCATAGTTTATTAAAAAGCTAAATGGCAAAGCACAATTTTATTTTTTTTTAAGTTACAAGTTTATCAAGTCGACAAAGCAGTGACGGTCACAACGGACTGGCCATTCAAAAAAAGCCTACAAACGTCCTGGAGAGGTATATTCTACAAGTTCAGTCCTGAAATTCTCTGAATGGCAAGATACTTCTTTAACACACTCGACTAGCTAGACATTATTCGTTACTGAGCAAATGAGGATGGAGACTCCAAACAACTAATGTTCAGCTATGCCATTACGGACGCACACTTCCAACTAAATATTGCAACCAATCGCTATTTATAGTTAGTATTTTTTTTAATATCCAGTTAATATAAGTTAATTTATAGGCTTCCTTAATGTTTAGTTTTGTTTTTTAATTTAAATTCGCGAAATACCTACCTACCTAACAAAAAAAGTAAAAGTAGTTTCACACCACAACATTTACACATAAAACCTAAATATTTTAACATTTGTATTTATTAAGCTGTACAAAACTTGATAGTTTTTCTGACCGTCCTTGCCTTATCCCGAGCAGTAGGTACGTTTAAAAAAGGGACGGTCGAGAAAATGACGGTCTGGAAAAGTCCGATGTTTTTGATACCAATGGTAGGTAAATGGCGGAATTTCATATTAGGGTTATGTATATATTTTAAACCACATAATATTAATAAAAAATCCTAGTTATTGCTAAACAAACATAATAGTTATTTCTATTATCATTAGGGACGGTTCGGAACAAAATAAAAATACGGAAGCAAATGATTACCTTATTATTGCAAAATCACTTTATAAGACACAACGTATTCTTTTTACTTTGTATTGCCGTAACTGACTAATTTCCGCGTTATTAAGACAAATTTTACTGCTGGGTATGTTCAATTTTATTTTCCATTAAATGCGTATGGGGACGGTTAAGGAATAACACTTTGTGAAGCCGAAATTTTAAAAAAGTTTAGAGTAAATCATTCCGCCAAGTATTTTTCTTAAAACTTTAACATTTCTTTTTATAGAAAATGTAGCTCGTCTGGTCAGCTAATTACAAAAAAAAATTAACAGCATTGGATAAAAAATAACTATTTGACAGGTTCGGGACATTCAAGTTAAAATTATGGGAGAATTACGCAAGTACATAAGTAATACATTTTGGTGTCCCCCCCATGGAAAATTGTATATGGTCGCCCAGAAAGCAGCACATTGCGTTCGTACGGGGTAGCGGAGCAGTTGCGCATGCGCGCAGCTATCCGGCACGCTGTTGCATCTTCAGTTGGTCCGAACCTGCGAAACGCTGACGCGGGAAAATCCGCGCGGGTCCTCAAAGCCGCCCTATCCGTTTAAATTTCACGGGAAGAACGAGATTCTGGGTGTTTTTCGGGTGAAAACTTTTTGGTGATTTTTTTTCGTTCAGTTGGTGATGGGTTGTGTTTTATGTGCGGGGTGAATGCGTGATTTTTTTATCCGGTGTTTAACAGGTTTGTTCAATTTTTTAATTTATTAAAATACATTTTTAAATTATACCGGGTTTCTCACATTTTTTTTTCTTTTTTCACATTTTTGGAAATATTTAGAGAATGGCTTGCCTTACCGAAAAATTTGAAAAGAAAAAGTTGTAGAAAATTGAATTCTCTACAAAAAAAAGTCTTTACCATTATATCGCTAAAATGCACAGTTTACAAGATATGAGCAGTTTAATTTTTAAAAATTTGAAAAATTTGTGTTTCTTGAGATTAATTTGTCTTAAATTCGATTCAATGACTATTTAATATCTTGTAAACTGCACTTTAGCGATAAAAACATTAAAACTTTTTTTGCAGAGAATTAAATTTTCTACAACTTTTTTCTTTAAAATTTTTCGGTAAGACAAGCCATTCTCTTAATATTTTTAAAAATATCTGCATAAAGTAAAAATGACTTTCAGAGCTGATACCATCAAGGTAAATCGAGTTAGAGAAAAGTTTGTATAGGCTCTTTTGAAAAGTGTTAAATACTCTGTAATATAAATAGTAAAATATGAGAATTCGGCTTAATCATTTTAAAATCTTAGACGTGTAGGTAATAAGTTTATTTAATTAAAGCAATCAATTTTTCTAAACTTTGCTTTTTCAAGTAAATAAAAGTGATTGATTAAAAATCAGCAACGAGTTTGGTATTTATAAATGATAATAAAAAAGTTGTAGAAAATTGAATTCTCTACAAAAAAAGTCTTTACCATTATATCGCTAAAATGCACAGTTTACAAGATATGAGCAGTTTAATTTTTAAAAATTTGAAAAATTTGTGTTTCTTGAGATTAATTTGTCTTAAATTCGATTCAATGACTATTTAATATCTTGTAAACTGCACTTTAGCGATAAAAACATTAAAACTTTTTTTGCAGAGAATTAAATTTTCTACAACTTTTTTCTTTAAAATTTTTCGGTAAGACAAGCCATTCTCTTAATATTTTTAAAAATATCTGCATAAAGTAAAAATGACTTTCAGAGCTGATACCATCAAGGTAAATCGAGTTAGAGAAAAGTTTGTATAGGCTCTTTTGAAAAGTGTTAAATACTCTGTAATATAAATAGTAAAATATGAGAATTCGGCTTAATCATTTTAAAATCTTAGACGTGTAGGTAATAAGTTTATTTAATTAAAGCAATCAATTTTTCTAAACTTTACTTTTTCGAGTAAATAAAAGTGATTGATTAAAAATCAGCAACGAGTTGGTATTTATAAATGATAATAAAGTAAAAAGATTCGAATTTTCAGTAAATATTCATCAATCTAAATTTAAAACTTGTGAAATGTTTTTATAATAAGA